GATTTCTTTCAACGATACGTCAAAAGATCACAAATCGTATCTAGTCGAAGACATTACCCTTCAAAATTGAAAAAATTTCCCTCGTTCCCCGTAAATGGGGGGAACCTCTAAAAAAATTACAAATTTAAAAATCGCTAATTTTCGAAATTTTTTCAATTTTTTTTACTAAAAACTGCCGTAACTTTTTCAAAAATGAACATATCAATATAATTTTTTTTTATAGATGCTTGATATCTTTACCTATTATTTGGTATATTTTTTTTGTAAATGTGACACTTAACCTGCCCACAGGGGGGGATTTAAAATAACAACTTTTTCACAAAAAATTAACTTTTGAAAATGTTCCGGAAGGTCAAATTTTTTTTAAATCAGACTATTTCCCTATATATGGGGGGGCTTCAAATATAAAAAATGGTTATTGAAATTAGAACTTTTTCAACATAACTTTTGAAAATGTTCCGGAAGGTCTGACACTTTTATATATATCTTAAATTAAAGCTATTATAATATACTTTAATTTGAAAAAAAAAAAATTGACCACTGGACTTGTCTTCACGGAGAAAATGGCTACCGAATGCTATTTTCGTGTGAAAATTCTCGATTTTATTATTTATATTGTATTTAACTTTATAATGATATAACTTATTGAAAAGTTTATGGATCAATACAATTTTTTTATGAGGAATAATATTTTTTAATAATCTCTTTTTCATTCAATATACTTTATCTTAATCGAGATATTAATAAGGAAACAGCAGATCAAGTAGCTTTTGGAATAAAACGCCAATTTTTTTAAAATTAAACACTATCTAAAGATTTGCATCGAAGCGTTTATTTTTGATAGTGATTTTAATCACTGTCAGATATCATTATACTTGATCCAACTATGCCACGTCACCACTGTGCNCACTGTCAGATATCATTATACTTGATCCAACTGTGCCACGTCACCACTGTGCCGCGACCCACTGTGCTGGTTTTTTTTTTTAAGTTTAGGTTTTTTTTTAATTTGTATTTAATTTATTAGTTAAATAAGTTAATGAATATCATATAATAATACAATAGTATAATTGTGTCCAATTCAAAAGTTAGTTGTAGATTGCTCTTTAAAAATAAATTATTTTTTCTAAAAANGCTCTTTAAAAATAAATTATTTTTTCTAAAAATATTGAACAGTTGGTTAATACAATTAACTTAAAACAAAAAATTATACACTTAAATTTATTTTGAGATATTAAATGTAGTTTTATAATATAAATATTTTATATGTGGGAAATATGATTTATTTCAACAGTAAATTTACAGTATAACAAATAATAATTTAAACTGATGAACTATAAACAATGAACAACGAACAAAATGAACAATTTATGAAAATGATAACTGATGACTGATCACTGGACACTGTGGTTTGATGATTGATAACTAGGAGCAACGGTCCCACTTCTTATATAGGCGGTAGAATGTTCCAGAACAATCGACCGCCGAAGAATCTTCTAGAGGCGGCGGCGGTCGAACGTTCTAGAACATTCGGCCGCCACATCACCCCCCTTCCAGTAATGAAATTACGATTCAATGAGTAAACTGTTTCTATCCCGCTTGATAAAACTGTGTGAAGCGCACTCTTCTTCCTGAACGTGTTGTACGGTTGTTGTCGGAGTGACTGTCCTCTGGAAATGAGTCGTCGGCTGGTTGCTGGTTTTCTGGTTGCTGGTCTTGTGGTCGATCTTCGTGCCCTTGTAGGTCATCGGGGCTGTCCCTGGTCACGTATGCTGGTTTCAGTCGATCAAACGATACAGCTACTTCTCGGTTACGTATTTTGATGACGTAATAGCGAGGGTGCCGTGATATGACTGGGAATGGACCTTCGTAGGGGTTCTCCAGCGGACCTTTAGGTGCATTGCGGTAGGCCAGAACGTGGGATGATGAGGCCAAATCTTTAAAAATGAAAGTTGGCTTATCTCCATGCCATGAAGTTGGTTGAGGCTTCAGCTCGTTGAAGTGTCGGCGAAGGCGGTTGACGTAGACAGCTGGGTCGGAGTCTCCTGTCGTTTGTTTCGGGTTCACGAACTCTCCTGGCAGACGTATGGATTCTCCGAAAACCAGCTCTGCTGAGGTTGCCTGAAGGTCTTCTTTCCATGCAGCTCGGATGCCCATTAGGACGATGGGTACACGTTCGACCCAGTCTACGCTTTCGTGGCAGCGTAGGGCTGATTTGAGTTGCCGATGGAAGCGTTCGATGATGCCATTGGATTGAGGGTGTCGAGCGGTCGTTCTTATGTGTTTTGAACCGATAAGCTTAAGGAGCGCATTATAAAGCTCACCATCAAACTGTCGGCCTTGGTCGGTTGTTAACCGTTCTGGGACACCAAATCGTGAAATCCACTCCCTGAAGATGACCTTCGAAACGGTGTCTGCCGTGATGTCTTCTAAAGGGTAGGCTTCTGGCCATCTGGAGAAACGATCGATGCAGGTCATTAGGTAGCGGTAGCCTTGGTTGAAGGGAAGTGGACCGACGATATCGACGTTGATGTGTTCAAAGCGGGAACTTGCGAGTTGGAATTCGCCAAGTGGTGCGTGGACATGCCTGTGCACTTTGCTTCGTTGGCAAGGGATACATTCTCGGGTCCAAGTTCTAACGTCCTTATTGATTGAAGGCCAGACGAATCTTTCAGCGATGAGTTTGACTGTTGCACGTGACCCAGGATGTGATAATCCGTGCAGGGATTTAAATACCTGCTTGCGGAAGGAGTGAGTGACAAACGGGCGTGCTTTATCTGTGGACAAATCGCAGAAAAGCATTTTTGATGTTCCAGGGATACATATTTGTTTCAACTTCAAGGGTGAGTTGGATTTCAGGAGACGATGGAGTTCTTCGTCGTTTTGCTGGGCCTGAGCAAGATCGTCGAAGTTGATACCCTCTGAAACAGCGTCTATCCGGGACATTGCATCAGCGACGACGTTGTCTTTTCCAGAAATATGGCGGATGTCTGTGGTGAACTGGCCAATGAAATCCAAGTAACGGAATTGACGTGGTGAACATTTTTCAGGTTTCTGGCGGAAGGCAAAAGTCAAAGGTTTCTGGTCTGTGAAAACCGTGAAACTTCGACCTTCGAGATGATGCCGAAATTGACGAATCGACTGGTAGATGGCGAGAAGTTCTCTGTCAAAAGCGCTGTACTTGGTTTGGGCTGGTTGTAACTTGCGTGAGAAGAATGCTAGTGGTTGCCATCCTTGGTCGGTGAGTTGTTGTAGAACTGCGCCAATTGTGAGATCCGATGCGTCGGTGAAGAGTCCCAAGGGTAGTTTTGGATCCGGATGCGACAGGAGAGTCGCGGTAGCCAGAGCTTTCTTGCAGTTTTCGAAGGCTTGGATGCCGTCAGGAGTCCATGGAATCGGTTTCTGTCCTTTGGCGTCTTTCCCTTGCAAGTAGGTGTGCAGAGGTGCTTGGAGATCGGCAGCATTGGAAAGAAATCGCCTGTAGAAATTAATCATGCCTAGGAACCTACGTAGGGACTTGACGGTTTGTGGCTGCTTGTAGTTGCTGATGTCCTGGACTTTCGATACTGGCGGTTTGACACCCGTGGAGTTGACGGTGTAACCTAGAAACTCGATCTCGTCTAACCCGAAAACGCTTTTAGTGACGTTTATCACGAGGCCGTATTTTTCGAGTCGCTCGAAGACTAGGCGGAGATGTTCTTCGTGTTCTTCTTCCGTCTCGGAGGCTATCATGATGTCGTCTATGTAGACGTATACGAAGTCAAGATCCCTCA